GCAGGATCAGAGACATGCAATCGTGTTTGACAATCAAAATTAGATATTAAAGTATTGAGAAGGAGTGTGTGTGCATGCAGAGGACAAAAAGAGATTGGAGACTCCTATCTCAGACAGCTGAGGAGGGTATTACACATTTCATGGAAAGACAAAACAAATGTGGGAGTAAGGGAGCTGACAGAGCAGGACAGCCAAGAAAATATCTTCAAAGAAAGAAGGCTCAGGTAGTTGGGACATGTACACAGTCTGGAAGATGGGAGACATGCTGAGCAAGCACTGAATTGGGTACCTGAGGGAGGAAAGAGAAAGCACGGATGGCCAAGGAAGAACTGGTAGAAGACCGTGACAGAGGATACTGAATGTGCGGGCATCACCTGGGATGAAGTACCACAACTAGCAGGTGCCTATAATCAGTGGAGGAGCTGGACCGCCATTTGTGTCAGCAGCACAGGAGGAACGAAGGTAGGAAAGGAAGGAGTGAACTACCACTGTAGGGGTCAGCCCAGGAGCTCACAAACAGAACAGCCTGAGTATAATCAAGGAAGCTCCTTCCTCTGCCCTAGGATTGATCGATTTAAACAAAAACGGGAAGCTGAGCAAAAGGGGGAATTAGAAGCCATCCAGCTTGTAAATGGGTGGTGATCTCTGTCCCAGGTTCCAGAAGACTATCCTGAGCAGGCTTGGCTCAGAGACTTTGCTTGAGGACTTTGAGTTGCGGAGCTTGTAAATCAGGGGTCCTAAGGTAAGGGCTTCTGGAACTGTTTGTTAAAAATTTTCCTTCCATGAGATACTTATTTTTAATTTGTTTGTTTCTTTTGGTCCCCCTGGCCCAGATCCCTTTTTAGAGAACATATGATGCCCCAGTTAGGGGGAAGTAAGGTGGGGGTCACCCACAGTGCCTACCCCAGCCTCAGGGAGGCATACTGGGACAAATACTAATTGAAAAAGTTACTTGAAATTGTATAGTGATTTAAGGTAATGTAGCATTGCAAACTAATTATGTGCACTGAACATGCCATATCATTTGAAATATTTTTTCTTTGCTAATGTAATTACCTCAACTTTTATATTCCCTACCTTAAATATAAATTCTCCCTTCTTGCATATATGGCCTGACAAGACTGAAGATGCATGAATTCTCAAAATAGATTGCATAAGGTAAAATTCAGTTCTGTGCAGAGGATCAATATGAGGCCTAAGTGAACTAGCTGCCAAGACAAAGTGATATTAAAAGAATATTCAGATATTAGACCAAAACTTAGCTTTTGTAACCCAAGCTTTAGAAATGTTTCCATTAAAGTGCTTGTTTTAAATAAGCATTTTCTTGCAGTGTTTGGATTGCAAGTACATGAGAACCTGAATGTTAAATGGACTAAAAAACGGAATACAGACATGAAATTTGAGTATTTTCATTATCCAAGATCAAAGAAATGTATAAAGTAACTAAATGCTATAATAAAGTAGTACATTGCTGCCAAGATTTTCAATTCAAGAAAGCGTCTCTATTCAGGAAAGGTGTTTAAGTGTGTGCTTAAAGTTAACTAAGGACAGCACATAATCAAGGCGTTATTTGGTCCCCTTTCAAATGCGTTTAACACCCAACCTCTCAGACTACCTAAAATTAGGCTCCTAACCCCTTATTAGGCACTTATTTTTTTAAATCTTGACCTTAATTTTAAAAATTTAGTTTTAATCATCTAATGTGGTAATAGCATAAAGAAATTCTCTTTAGTTGTTTAGTACACATTGATACGTGTGATGTTAGGAGGTGACAAACCCCAACAATAAGAATGGGTGTGCTGGCATACCAGAATGTTAGTTCTAAAATTTTAAAGGGACATGGTCAGGCTGTTAAAATATCTGAGAATGGACTCTAATCTGCAAAATTTTGATTTGATTACTTTAATTTTTTTATTGTAAGATTTCCTGTAATTCTGAATTGGTGTATATGAAAATGAAGTTAGTACTGCTCTACTGTCCAGTGACAAAGAGTTAGTGATTAGGTTATTCCAAACTCTGCATTTCCACACTTGTCAATATCTGACTTGTGGCGTTTTTGTGTAGAGTTACCTTTGAGTTCCTGGCTTTCAGACATATGTTTTTTTAAACATTCAATATGTATTTACAATTTTAAGTTAAGGTGTTTTCCTTTCGAACATTTAACACTTCAGCTTAATGACTTGTCTGTATGTAACCCATTCCCAATCACTTGTAAATACATATCTGTAGTGAAACATGTCTAAACATTCAACTAACCAACAAAAATTCATTGCTTAATGGATTTTTTTAAATAGAGGTGAAATAGAACTATGCTCAGTATCTTAGTCACCCTTGATCCTGAGAGAACCCTGGTAAGAATACCTCACACTCTTGTAACAAATGTGTATGTGCAAAGAGAGGATAAATTAAATAATGTATAGTATTCATTCATTTGTGAGTGAATTTTATCAATCCAGTACTTACATTACAGTTGGTTTACTTTCACCCTTCAAAGACTATTCACAAAGTGCCAGGATAATAGTGAAAGACAAACTTCAGCACCTTCTGCAAGTCACACCTCCTGCCTCGGTTAAGCCATAAATATTCCTTGCTTGAGTTGGGAATTATATTTCCACTTACTGCTTGTGGTAAATTTCATGGAGAGACAGATTTCCTTTTATTTTTTCGTATCTTCACTCGTTATAATGTTAATGGCTATGTCTTCAACATTGAACGTTAAGAAAGTGCCAAAGAAAATTCCAGTGGTTTGGTCCAAGAGTTAGCTTAGCCCACCTGAATTACACCTTTAGACCATGAGATGCAGGAGGAGGAAAGGTAGCTCACCTGGATCACCTCTGGGCTGTGTGCCTAGGTGGATGTGCCACCAACAAACCTGAAAGGCAGTCCTGGAATAAGGAACAGGTATGTCACTTCCTCTGCTTGTTTGTAAATATATACAGTGCAGCTTTTTCTCAGTTTTTCACTGTACAAGTTTAGCAGAGAAAATGTTCTGTCAAGATGGACTGTACATACAGAGCAATTTTCAAATGATCATAATTTAATCAAACTACAGTAATTTTTCTCAAAGCGCTTAAGAAATTTGGTACAGGCTATTTTCTATGTCAAATTTCAGCTCTCTGCTATAGCTGTTTCTGCAGTAGAATTGCTAAGCATGAAATTGAGAGAGAATTTTCTCCCTCCTTCCACCCTATCAAATTAGGGGAGGCGTTTCTCCTCAAACTCTACCCCTTCTCCTTTATAAGATGCTATGTCTAGAAAAACTCATCCCAAAACTTGAAAAATTCATTAAGATGAGTGACTGGAAGCAGGGTTTAGAATGGAAAAAAATATGCACCCTTAACTAGCACTGGGAGCTACAGTGAACACACAACACTGTTACTCAGTTACTCTTCCCAGAGCATCTCTCATTCACTGCAGCTATGTATTGTAGAAGAAAACTGTATTTAACAGTTAGTGCTATAAATTGCCATCCCATTGAAATGTAAATGTTATGAAAGCTAAAGGTTGATGATATCCACATTTAACAGCTGTTTTTCCCATCCTCTTTTAAAATACCCTGAAGTTTTCACTCTACCAGTAAAATCTAATTGATGGGAATAATTACAAAGTCAGAGGATGAAAGGAACGTAGGAGATGCACTATTGATTTAGTGAAGCGTTCGTTTAAATGATCAAATATAATGGTTAAAAATGTACATGGATTGAAAACTAGCTGCAAGTCAAACAGTCATCATAAATAGTCTTCAGTAAGTATAGTGCTGCAGCAGTTGGTGTTAGGTCTGGTACTTAGAGTGGCAACTACTCATTGTCATTTTCACTAGTCTCAAAGAACACTATTTCAAAGTTACAATAGGATGCATTGTAAATACCAGAATTCAGAGGGACCTCAAGTGGTTACAAATATTAGCAGAAAATAAGTTTAGTATATCTGAAGAGGATAAAGAGAAAAATCTGGACACCACCCGTTAAGAGACAAGTAACAGTGGAAGACAAATGAAACAGAAATTAGAAATTCAACAATACATCTGGAATATTGCACACAATTGAATATTGCAGTATTCTAGAATTGTAGATAAATTGGAAGGTGTTCATAAAAGAAGTATGAATAGGAGCAAAGATTAAGGGTGCTAAATATCTAACAGCTCATCTAAATAACAAGTGAGGAACAGACGACAGAAGATAAACCTAGATTCCTTGACATGTTAATTCTTCAACCAGAGATTCAGGCAGTACAGAGATATACAAGTAAGAAAGAAGTCAACGGAAAGTTTAACCTGAATGAGAAAATTTTGTTTTAAAATGTGGTATTTAAGAAATAATTCTGCAATTGGATGGAGATGGTCTGAATATTGTACTAGATCCTCTTACTAACTTCTATTGTGGTATAGAAGCCAGTTATACTCTACAGTCTTCCATTAACTGGTGCAACAGCAAGCTTGGTGGTATTTGAGTTTCAAGTTACAGAACACCCTTTCAGCTAGAATTGGTCAAAGTCTCAGCTCTTTAAAGGATTCCCTAGGTATTGTTTCCAATGGAAGGGGAAAAACAATTCTATAGCATTTATATCAAACGGGGGGTCAGGACTGTTCAAGGTGTCGCAAGGTTATTACATGGGGGCTTACAAGCTGTCAGCCTCCGCCTGAAACCCTGCTTTGCCTCCTGCCTTTATAATGGTGTTAAATATATGTAAAAGTGTTTTTAATTTATAAGGGGGGTTTGCACTCAGAGGCTTGCTGTGTGAAAGGGGTCGCCACTACAAAAGTTTGAGAACCACTGATTTATATAGTGTGACATACTTTAATTACCATTGAGGTTTCTCCCTGAAGTGTTACAAAGAGGTGGTGTGAAAGTCTTACTATAATTTTAAAGACAAAGCCTTAAAACACAGAAAATAAAGGTTTACTAACAGAGTTAGAGCAAAGGTTACTGCAGCAAAACAAAATTACTAATTATCATAAGTTTGTGAGTTTTTAGAGAAAAAACAGTAACATATACAGCTGCTTGCAGACAAAATTGCCATGTTGTTGAGACTGTTTCCCTCCTTACATGCAGTACTTGATCAAGCATCACTGTAACTAACATTGAGTTCATATGTCTAAAATAAATACAGAAACACAATTTTAATCTCAGCATAGTGTACTGATATCAGCTTTGGTACATCCCCATTTGCAGCACACTCCTGCCACCCCCATTGACAAGTCTCGTTTTCTTCTGGGATATTTGGCCCAAGGAGAGCTATTTGACACCATGGGATTGGCAATCCCTGCTCCACCTCTGTTCTTCCAGGCAGCATCCTCAACCTGGCGAACATATTCACTGAAGTCATCTGACATGGGTACATACTCATTATAATCAAACAAACTAAACAAATCCTTCAATGTCAGCTGTCCAAGTGGTATGCTGGCTCTCTGCAGCTGCTCCAATCCAGGAGCTAAGACTGACTGTAATTTCAAGTTCTCTAGTTCTTTGTTACTAGTGGCTTGAGCAGAATCTGTTAAAATAAAAATAAAGATTTTTTTTTTAATTCCAAAGTTATTAGGTGTAATAGTGTTCCTAAGGGTGGAAGGTCATAGTTAGAAGTTACATCACAATCATTCAGCTAATAATAATAATAAATAATAATAAAGGAATCATTATGAAGGCTGCGAGCTTATCACGGAGGTCACGGATTCCATGACCTGCGTGACTTCTGCAGTGGGCCAGTGTGGCTGGCTACGGGGCTGCCCAAGCAGCTCAGGCAGCCCCTGGGCCAGTTGCACCAACTGCTGCTAGGGCAGTCTGGGGCCACTGCCACCGCCCTCCCCCAACAGCAGCAGGAGGAGTTTGGGTGTGGGAGGGGGTGAGGGCTCTGGGTGGCAGGCTCCCCAGAAGCAGCAACATGTCCCTCCCCCAGCTCCTGCCTCCACCCACAGGCACTGACCCCACAGCTCCCACTGGCGGCGGTTCCCGGCCAATGGGAGCTGCGGAGCTGGCAGCGTGAGAGCTAGGAGCTTATGAAGGGATGTCACCGCTTCAGAGAAGCTGGATAGAGAGCTTGCCAGCCGCACCAACCCCACCTCCCTCCAGCACCCGCGGCACCCCCTCCCCACACACCCGCAGCACTCCCAGGATTTAGTCAGGGGTATAGTACAAATCATGGACAGGTCACGGGCCGTGAATTTTTGTTTAGTGCCTGTGATCTATCCATGACTTTTACTAAAAATACCCGTATCTCAAACGTAGCCTTAATCATTATCTAAACACAAGATGACAAGAATAGCACTCCCACTACCTTGGCTGACAGGGTTGTTTTATTTACCTATTGTTTTAAATAGCCTAGTTTTGTAATAAACATGCTTTTAGCATAACTACAACAGTGTGGCTGCTGTAAGCGATACACTTGACAAGGCATCCTTTTTCCACAAGGGCTCCATGCAGTTACATGCAGTCTTAGGTGGGAAGTCACCACTTGTGTGCTATTCATTTATAAAGAGTAATTAAGCAGCTATGAGATACAGGCAATTTCCTCAGACAGCAGTTCTCAAACTTTACCAACCCAAGGACCCCCATTTTGATTTAAAAATTTTCATGGACCTCCAAACCCATCACTCAGCCTCAAGCCCCGCCCCCACATCACCCTTCCCAAGGCCCCACCCCTACCCCACCTCTTCCCACCCCCACGCCACCCCTGCCTCTTCTCTTCCATGCCTCTTTCCACCCCATCCCCATTCCTCCCTCTCCCTCCCAGTGCCTCCTGCACACCACTGAACAGCTGTTCCCCGGCATACAGGAGGCACTGGGAGGGAGGAGGAGTTGATCAGCTGGACCGGTGGCCCTGGACGTGATTCTGCCTCCTCCCAAGTGCACCCCATCCCCACTCCTCCTCCTCCATCCCAGCACCTCCTACACACCACTGAACAGCTGTTCCTTGGTGTGCACGAGGCACTGGGAGGGAGTGGGAAGGAGTTGAGTTGATCAGTGGGACCTACGGACCCCCTGGAGAACCCTCGTGGACCCCCAGTTTGAGAAAAGCTGTCCTAGGGATTGACTGGCTGATAGAAGGTGATGGTCCACAGCTGTGCTCTTAAGCCTATGCCTGGATCATCTATTGCAGCAAAGTGTGTGTTGGGTAGTTAATTGGACTGTCTTGAACTTGCAAAGCAAGTACAATACTTTGTATCCCCACACAAGCACTGAGTTGTGGTTACAAGAATTTGTTGTACTGGAGTTTTTTGTAACATCTAGGAAGAGGGCTTTAACAATGGTCCAACTGATCAAGTGCCCTCTGCAACACACTTATGCCCCACAGTAGTAGGTATTCTTCAGTCTTGAGAGGACCATGGGTATCTACCCCTGAGAGGTAAAGAACTTACTCAGCTGGTTTTATGGCAGCTGAGGATGTGGCTGAAGAGACCCACTTGAGACACACAATCTCTGCCCAAATCTGTCACATTTAAAAGTGATGTTTCAACTCTTTGGGCTCTGCCTTCTGCAAGCTCTTTTCTCCTTTGCTAAGCTGGATGGCTTCCTCTCGTAACTCCGGACACCTTTGTTAAGCTCGTTTCCAAAGGCTGTGGTTTTGAGTGTGATCTTCCCATTTGTCCACATCCATGTCCATTTCTTTGAGGTCTCACTTGCACACATCCTTGAAACACAATTTTTGGGTATCCTTTGGGTCTTTTTCCAGATGCCAGTTCGCTGTAGAGGATGTCTTTTGGGTTGCACCCATCATTAATTAGGCACACATGCCAAAGCCAGCGGAGGCATCTCTATCTGAGAAGTGTTTGCATGCTGGGTATGCTGGAGCACCTCAGTGTTGGGGACTATCCCTCAAGGAAATGCCCAAGATTTGACTAAGGCAACGTATCTGAAAGCTGTCGAGCTTTTTTTCCTGATGAGAGTATAAGGTCCCTGTCTCACTCCCATACCAAAGTGTGCTGATAACCCATGCATGATACACACAGATCTTTGTGTTCTATCCGTTTGTTGTTTTGCCATACCCTCTTGCTCATTGTTGCTCTTGCTAGACATTGTTGTGGCAACTTTTCCAATGCAGTTTATAGATGTTGATCTTGATGGAGGGTGCTTCCTCAACCCCATAATGGAACATTGTTTGTCTTTTTTAGGCTAATGGTAAGCCCAAAGTCTTGGCAGGCTTTGGAAAAACTGTCCATAAGGTTTTGGAGATGAGCTTCTGTGTGGGTTGTCACTGCTGCATCATCAGCAAAGAGGTGGTGTTGGATAAGGGCCTCCTGAGCCTTGGTTTTAGATCTGAGTCTTGGAAGATTGAACAGCTTGCTGTCAGCTCTTGTGTGCAAGTAGATTCCCTCAATTGTGGAGAAGAATCCACAAGCATCATATTTGTGTTTGTCCTCCAAATCCATTCCATTCCAAACTCATTTAGTTACTCAACATTCCCTAACTGCACTAAGCAACATGTCAGGTGCTTTAGGAGACACAGAACATACTGGTACAACTGTGATTGTAAAGTGTGATGAGTATAAATGTGTCAAAATGGCTCTATCAAACAATGTTACTATGTAGAAGTGCTACCCTAGAGGTTTGCAAGCTGCCTATAATGTGGACCATCTCTTCAATTCTTATTGACTACCTCCTCCTATTCTTGACTGCATGAATCACTATCCCCTATTTGCAGACACTACCAGTTGCTTACATAGGGGGTAATGTTAGGAAAGTATTTATATATTTTCAGCTAATGCTTTGGCTCTTTGTTTTATCTCTCCCTCCAATCTGCTCTGTTTCTCTCAACTGGAAAGAAGGAACACTAGCAGCTTAGTTACACACCAACTCTGTGCAGGCCACAATTTGGGAACTTCTGTGGGTGGCTAGAAGGACAAAGCAAGACAACCACTTGTTTCATGCAATCTATCAAAGAAAAGCTTTCCTCATGTACGTGTAAGCGCAGCCAGTGTGGGGATATCACAAGCACCACCAACCTGGACTGTAAAAGCCATTCCATGTGAAATCCCTGTTTTCCCTTCCTTTTATTGTAGGCAAAATCCTTTTGTATTAGTTTCTCTAACTACTCTTGGGGCCCCAAATAACCTTTTTTCTTTACAATTGCAGCAAAATCAATTCAGACATTGAACTAGGAGCATGGCAGAAAAGTGTCCATTGGGGGGAAAAAATAGTCAAGATGCTGCTTTGCTTCAAATGAACAATTTATTTTTAAACTTCATCATGTCTTGAAGTTAGTCCTCTGACGACAAGTCATTTCAACAAAATGTATTAATTTTTATTTCAACTTGTGAGTATACCCAACCAGAACTGAGTGATATGCAAAAAATGACATGTACTGGCTAAGATTGTCACTTCTGCTTCAGCCTTTTTCCCTAGGGTAAACGGGGTAGAGTGGTATTATGGAGCCCTAAAAGCCCAGTATCCCCTCAGAGGATTTCCCCAGCACAGGGACTGCATAAGACAGACATAAGTACCCCTTCCAAAGCCCTAGTGTAGGAGGCATGTCTGGGTTCTTCTAGGCAGTGCTGCAGCGAAGGGAGGCTGCCATAACTTAAACAAGCCTCTACAGCTAAGTAATATCAGAGCTGCTCCAGCCCCTGGAGCATCCCCAGAAGCAGCAGAGTACAAAACCAGCATAGTCACCTCAGCCTGCCCCCCCCCCACACACACACACACACTTCTCTAGGCTGAGGGTTCTGTACTATACCTCTTAGAGGTGCAAAATAGAACCGTAGCCCCCGTACTTAGCACACTACTTGGGGAAGCACTATACCTATAGTTTCTGGTTGACTATTATGTCCTTCCAAGCAATTGATAATGGGCTGTTTTAGGACTATTCTTCCTCAGAGGTTTTGGGAACCATGTAGAGTTTGTTAGCTTTTAAGAGTTGATCAAGACAAAAGGTCCTATGGCTGCCATGAAATTGAATGAATCATAGAATATCAGGGTTGGAAGGGACCTCAGGAAGTCTAGTCCAACCCCCTGTTCAAAGCAGGACCTATCCCCAACTAAATCATCCCAGACAGGGCTTTGCTGCGAACTAAATGACTCAAAGTCTATATGAACACTGAAGGATTAATGCTGTGAGTCCATAAGCCCCTGCATTCATGATGCAGTCTGTTTATCGAGATCAGTTCCATCTCGATCCCATTCAGAGACACCAATACTAGATATGGGGTGGGCAAACTGCAGTCCGCAGGCCGAATCCAGCCCCTCAGGACACTGCTCTTGTCATACTTGCAAGCACACATTTGCAGAGCTGCTCTTTCACCCCAGTTTATTAGAAATTTCAGTGTTTTGTTTAAGCACTTGTTTTACTGATGCTGGGTATAGTTCAGAGTATGTAGATGTCTTCAACAGATTTTTACAGTAACAGGCTTAATGGCCAGTGTAAATAAAATATCCTTTAAGTTGAATTACTCCAAAGGAAATCTTTTCAAGCTACAATTTTATTCAATCAGTATTTAAGATTAATCCCTTTTATGTGACAATTTTATTTAAAAATATCTTTCAGAATAAGTTAACCCAATAAATAGATCAAGTCTAGCCTCCTCCATCCATTTAAATACCTGTATATAATCTAGTGTATACAGTGATGGGGACCTTAGTAGTGTTGCAGAACATCTTTTTAACTTTGTGCTGTGAATATTATTGATCTTTCTATTTTGTATTATATATTTTGTTTTGGCAAAATTTCTTTATCAAAATAAATCCTTGATCTTGTAAGTGCTTGTCTACACAAATATTTAGTTTGCGGCAAGCTACAATGTGAAGCTTCCCCATACTAGCCTGCTACAAACTAAGTGTTTATGTGGACCCTGCTGACTCTTTTAAATGAATATCAGCAGGGTCCACATGGACAGTTAGTCCATGGCAGATTCACACCCCAGCTTGCTGCGAACTAAATGTTCATGAAGACCAGCTCTAAGTAACCAAATAATATAGCATTCAAATTTGAGGAAGATATCATACATAGAATGGAAAAGATTAAATAACTATACAGGGACCAGAGAGTTCCCCAAAAGGACTTAAGCACCTAGCTCCAAAATTTAGGCACCACTGAGATCCTCACAATGCCTGCTCAGCTGTCACCAATTCTGGAAGTTACTGTAAAAGTTCCCATGGTTTCTGCCTCTGGATAGGTGCCCATCTCAATCTCATGCTTAAATCCCAGTGGCGTCCTTTGACTAGCTCACCTGCAGGGCCCAATCAGGTAAGTGTTCTCAAAGCACACCTAGCTATACATACACAGTGGGAAGATCAGGGGCAAGTGATGTAGACATCCCTGATGCTTTAGTCCAGGGGTGAGGGCACTCATCACATCTCAGATGAGTACCCTCACCAATGGACTATTGAGCTGTTCTTGTGAGAAACAGATTAGGTGCCTGATATCAGAACAGGGTTTCTCGTTGTGGATCTTAAGTGCATTCCTCTAGCTCAAGCTTGGGCATCTAACACCCTACTCTTCAGCTCCCTACCACCATGCTGCTTTTTGTGGATCCCATTCCCAGGTATGTAACTCTTTCCATGCACTGTATACAGAGCCTAGATGTCTAACTCAGGGTCTGAGGATTCTACTCATGAGCTGTTAAGTGCCTAAAAAGTTACGCTTGGCAATACTCAGCCTTGCAACACACAAGTCCCTTTCTGGATTTACACCCAAGTTCTCTCTCCACAAAACACAGTAACCCCTGTTGAAGTCCATCAGAGTTAATTGTATCCTGCTGAATAAGAATAAGGCCAAATATGACTTGTGCTAGAATGTGCTACTGAAAGAAGGGGTCACTTCCCATTTCTCAGCTCCACAAAGTAGTCTTCAAGTCTTGAAGACTGATACTACGAGTCTAGTCATACTAGTATTCAGGAGTTTTAACAAACAAATACAGTACAGGTTGACTAAACCAGAAGTCTTAGGAAGTGCTTTGCAGTCATTTGCTATTTTTGACTTCTGAATACACAATAGGAATCATTTTAACATGTCTTGAACAACAGTGCAAGTGTTTAATCTTTAAGCAAATAAATACACCTTTTATAACGGGGGTTCTCAACACATTTTTTGGTGGCCTCAGAGTGTGGCCACCAACTATTGTTGATGGCTGCTCTGACCATTTTTCCTAAAATACTTAAATATGCACATATATTTTTTCCTAAAGTTAATTATGTCCAAGTCCTTGTAATAGACTTATGAAAGGTTTGTTTGTTTGTTTTGTTTTTTGCAGGCTCAATAATAAAAATAATGTACAGTTGTCTCTTCTTTATTGGCCCTAAACAGCATAGAAACACAAATAAGGTGCTTTGAATGTCCTTGTTTTATTTCTTGGGTTTTTTTGCTTGTTTTAAAAGACTTGCTAGCTCCTATGGGTGCTGTGAAAAGTGATATTTGTATGTTTGTTAGTATCACTTTTCACAGCAGATTTACTCAGCCCCAGCAAGCCCAGGGACAAATTAAGTGCCGGATGGGGAGAGGGGTACAGAGACACCTGGGGCAATGGAACACTGGGGGAGACAGCAGTGATGGGGGGGGTGCTTGGGCCTAGAGCCTGTCACCATGTAGTCAGGGAATGGAGCCTGAAGCCCTATGCCAGGGGACAGGGCCCAGTGGCTGGAGCCTGCCCCCACAGCCCTCGGGAAGGTGGGGAGCACACTGGCTGCCTGCTCCTCCAGCTTGTCTCTCTCCAGAGTGGGGCAGCGCCCAACCACTGCTGGTAGCCCCTTGGTAGGGACTGCTGTTTTCTGCCCTCCCCCGGTGGCTGCATTGGAGAAACGCTGTGAGTGTAGCCATGATTTTTTTTTTTTCCCCCCAGGGTTTTTTTCCTAGGATGACGGATTAAACAAGTTTCACTAATAGAAGCATTTATTTGAACATGTCCCATCATTAGCAAAGTAGAAGTGACCCCATGTGTTTGTGGGTTTTTAGGTGATTTGGGACAGTGCTCTATTCTTGCTCTTCAGTCAATCCCTGAAGCATCAACTGCAACCCATTACCACCATATTCAAGATGGAAGAGGTGGGAGGTAGTAGAGCTTTCTCTGAAGTGTGTGCTCATAACAAGTAGGCGGTTAGATTCCAAGCAGAGATAACAGGGAGCAGGCACTTGCCCATACTACAGAGCCTGTGGCATTACAGCTGTGTTAGGCACTTGCTGCAGTGACTCAAGGGGGGTGGTTGTCACTGTGGTTGATCCACCCCGGGAGAGGCAGAAGCTGGGACAACAGAAGAATTCTGTCAGTGTATCAGTGCCTAGGCCAGGGCTAAGATGCGTTTCACTACAGCTCTCGAGGGTGTGAATTTTTCACCCCCTTGAGCAACTGAGCTAGGTCGACCTAAGTCTTAGGTGTACAGCAGCCCTTTGTTTCCCCAAGGTGTTGCTTGAAAGTCAACCAACCTTCTTGGGCAGAAAGATCAGTTCTCTCTGCCCTTGCCTGTGAGTAGCAGCAACCCTTTGATCGCAGCGAAACTTACTGAGCTCTGTGCCACTTACTGCTGGCCAGAGCCTAGCAGTTAAATGGAGGAAGAAGGTCTCTCTCCCTCTGAGGTACTTTGCGGGTGTCCATTAGGGTAGCACCTGGGCACACTGGTCTGTTAATGAGTTTAGCCCAGAGCCAGAGCAGCCCTGTGCGCGAAGGGCCGCGGGTTGCAGAGCCGGCACGGCGGTACCCAGACGGTCCCGCACGAAGCCTGCGCGGGGGCAGGGACGGCCACGTCCCGGGCTCGGGGCTTAACCTTCCTCGCTCGTGGGGGGCGGTTTCGCGCTGGTCCCCGGGCCAAGGGGCGCACCAGGCTACCCAAGACCGAGGGGGCAGAGGCAGGGAAGTTGGGCGCGTAGCCGGGCAGAGGCGAGGGCGCCGAAGTAGTTTCTCGCCCTCAAGCGACTGGAAAGCCGAGGCTGCGCCTCACGCTGCCCGGCCCCGTCAGCAGCCGCCCCCTGCCCCGGCCGTGCGCTGGACACCTCGCCACCCCCCCCACCCCGCGACGGGTGACAGCCCGGCCCGCCCGCCTCACCGCGAGCCGGGCTCCCGGGGGGCAGGTCCCAGCCCGGTGCCCCGCGCGTGCCGCCCCTGCGTTTGTACGCCGCCCCCTCCCCGCGCTCCCGGTCACTCACCAGCGCCAGGCAGCGGCTCCCCCGCCTGCAGGGCCAATCTCTTCCAGCGGGACCCGCCGCAGGTGAAGATCACGGCGCGGATGAACTCCCGGCCGCACAGCTTCACCCCGTACTCGCCGCCCCGGGGCGCCGCGGCTGCCGCATCCCGGGCGCTCTGCGCGCCCAGCTCCGCCGGCAGCCCGGCTAACAGCAGCCCCGCGCACAGCGCCCGCAGCCTCAGCGTCAGCCCCATCCCGGCGCGCGGCCCGGACCCGCCCTGGCACCCGCCCGCTAGACGGTCACACCCGGCGCGCGTGCTGCTCAGCCCCCCGGCCCTCGCGCCAGCGGCCCGCCGCGTGCTGCAGGCCCGGCGCTCGCTGACGCCCGCCTTATATACCCTGCCGAGCGCCGCAGGCGCGGAGTCACCCACGAGCGCAGCCCAGCCCCGGGGGGCACGGCTCGGCTAGCCACCGCCTCCCTCTGCCTGGCCTCACTGAGTTATTGGCTTGAGCTGCGTGCCCGTCTCTCCCCTAATAACCCCCACTCCACCCCTTTGCAAACCTGCCCTACAGGAGCAGCGCTGGCAAGAGCCGCTGTCCCTCCAGACCCTGGCACAGCTACGTCCTTTCGGATGCGTGTAGCCGGGGGCACCCTGCTGCCCCCCTCACCCCTGGGGGGCCCGTGTTGCATCGTCCAGCACTGATTGATTCCCCTCATCGCCCCCACCCCCCTTCGCTCCTCCACCTCAGCCACCCTGCTGTGGCTGTAAAACTACCCCCTCCTCTTCTGAGTGGGATTGAATACAGTGCACACAGGCAGCAAGGGAATGAAAGTATCACACTGGTAAAGGTAGTGGGGTAGAGCAATAAAGAGCACATGGTCCTGAGGTGACAGTAACTTGACACTGATAAAAGAAAAGGAGTACGTGTAGCACCTTAGAGACTAACCAATTTATTTGAGCATAAGCTTTCGTGAGCTACAGCTCACTTCATCGGATCCGATGAAGTGAGCTGTAGCTCACGAAAGCTTATGCTCAAATAAATTGGTTAGTCTCTAAGGTGCCACTAGTACTCCTTTTCTTTTTGCGAATACAGACTAACACGGCTGTTACTCTGAAACTTGACATTGATAAATACCTACTACTAGTGATGTTAAAACAATACCCTCTTTCTGCTCAGCATGTTCCTTTCAGTCACATTTCCCTAAAGTTACTTTTGCATCATCCACAACCACCACTGAATTCAGGCATTATATCTTGAATAGTGCATTGTAAAGAAGCATTGCTATATATATCGTGTAACTTTAAATCAACTTTTGTAGAACAACCATAACCAACACTCTTTAAACAATTTGCCATTAATTTCATTCTAACTGGAGGCAAAGTCACAGAAACTGTTAATCACAGGCAGGAAAGCTGTTCAGAACAAATCTAGCCACAAGCAAAGTAGCTAAGGTAGTTGTACTGCAAGTTAACAAATTAGAGTAATATATTTTTGTGTTCAAATATTTGCAGTAGAATGATGTAGGCAATAGCAAAGAAGCAAAATTATGTTTATTCATGAGAAATGTAAGCTACTGGTATAATTGTTACTAGTATAGTCAGTTTGTTGTTCCAGTATGAGTAATTCTTTTTAGAAGTTATTCTCAGGCTTAAAGTTTAAGGGAAAAAAACCCTCATGTGTACTTCATGTTGGACTGCACTCCACCAAGAAAACAAGAACAATCACTGCTGCACTTCATACCTTTTCTAGATCTGTGGATGTAGCTGTAACCATTTCCTTTCAATTGCTTATCAACCTTTATTTACATTTTTAGGGCTGAAGACAGGGTAGGTGGTGGAAAGCAACTGTGTAGCTCCCTCTTTAAGAAAGGAGATCCGTTTATAAATGCAACTTTATTGAGACTAATCTTGGCATATAGTTTAGATATTTTTTTAAAATACTTGGTCCCAGAAGTGTCCAGCTGCCACAAATTAATGTTGTCCGTTTTTATTATTTTTAGCTGGTGTTTTTGGTGGAAGTATATGTGCAAAAAACGTTTGCTATAATATTAGTGTGCTTTCTGTAATACAATACACTATTGTGTATTGGCTCCTGGCACTTGTAACCATTAAACAGGTGTGCTTTTTCCCAGTAGCATGTCCTTGATGAGAGATCAGAAAGTATCAGGTAAGGTGAATATGTCCTTATAATTTATTTGCACAAACTCCAACACCTAAAAGGTTTGTTAAACTGCTTAAGAGAAATATCAATCCACACCAATCTTTAAAAATTAGGAAACTTCCAGTTTAGATCCTTCTTTAACTGCTATCACATTTATCATTTTCAATCACAGACTGTACCCCAAAATGTACAGAGCAGCAGCCAATCATAATACAAAACCTCAGTTCTTTCTGACCTCAGCAACATCAATATGTCTGTTAGACGTCTGTTCATTGGGGAATTACATTATATTTTCCCCACAGGAAAGTATGTCAGAGATAATAGGAAGCAGGGGGAAAAGTGATATGGGGTGGATTTGACAAAGTAAAAATGTTCAGTAACCAGTGAAATATGGTAGTGAGATAAGAAGATAAAATTAACATGATGCCATTAGACAACAAGCCATAGCATGGGTAAGAGTTAGGAAAAGGCCCTGCTCACTTCCATTCATGTCCTGCTCTCTCTGCCTTGTAATTAATTGTAATTATAAATGCAAATGCATTGTAATCTATCTATCTATATATGGGGTTTGGGTTTTTGTTTTTTTTTGCAGGCTCAATAATAAAAATAATGTACAGTTGTCTTTATTTTTTATTGGGCCTTAACAGAATAGAAACACAAATAAGGTGCTTTGAACATTCTTTCCGGGGGTACATCAATTCATCAAGATATTTGCCTAGTTTTATAACAGACTACATAAAAAGCACTAGCAAAGTCAGTACAAACTAAAATTTCACGCAATGACTTATTCATACTGCTCTGTATCCTATACACTGAAATGTCAGTATAATAATTATAAAATAAATCAACTGGAATAGATATATTATAAAAATGAGAAAGTAAGCAATTTTTCAGTTATAGCGTGCTGTGACACTTTTGTATTTTTATGTCTAATTTTGTAAGGAAGTAGCTTTTAAGTGAGGTTAAATTTGGGGGTACACAAGACAAATTAGACTCCTGAAAAGGGTACAGTTGTCCAGAAAGGTTGAGAGCCATTGCACTAGATGATGTGATGATTAATATGTTCCTATTTGAATGCAATTGATTTTTTTTACCATAAACAAACCAAGTTTGCAAATATGTTCTAACACTTGCACCCTGACTCATGTTGTTTTGAGGGGAAGAGATTCTGAATGGTATGAGTGAAATAGAAGTGTAATGGTGTGATGTTATCTATAAGGATTTCTAAAATTCCCAATTCCAGACACCTGCCCCTTTTGCGGCGTGAGGGAAACCCTGGCGCACGTTTATCTGGAGTGTGCTAGGCTACAGCCCCTATTCCGGCTCCTCACCAATCTTTTGTTAAGGTTTTGGTTGCACTTTTCTCCTCACCTTCTTATCTACGCACTCCCTGTCCGTGGCCCCACTAAGTCGCGGGACCTCCTGGTCAACCTCTTCCTGGCCCTGGCTAAGGTGGCCATCTATAAAACCAGGGTGAGGAGGTTGGCCGATGGAGTCTCCTGCGACTGCGGGGCCTATTTCCGATCCTCTATCCGTTCACGCCTCCGGGCAGAGTTCCTCTGGGCGGCGTCCACTGACTCCCTTGATGCCTTTGAGGAGCGGTGGGTGCTGTCCGGGGTTCTCTGCTCGGTGTCCCCATCCGGTTCCCTTCGTTTGACCCTTTGACCGCACTCCCGTCCCTGTTTTTCATTAGTTGTCCCCCGTAATTAGTTGGCTTCCCAGGTCCTGTGGATCCCCCCCTTAGGCTGGGGGGGGATCCTTTCGTAGTGGACGAGCTCCGCCCGCCCGCTTCCTGGATCCCAATAGGACCAGACTCCTGTATGCCTGGATCCCAATAGGACCAGACTCCTGTACTACCAGACTCAGAGGAAACATCTATACACGCTCGTGCTGCACACCCTTCACTTCCTCACCCTTGCGTCCTGCCCCGACACAAAGTGGAACCCCGGTGGGCCAGCCTATACTCTACCCTGGTCCCGAGACCCGCCAGGGATATCAGTTGGCAGCTCCTTCATGGGGCCGTGAGCACGGGCGTGTACTTGGCACGGTTTACCCCCGTCCCGGACACCTGCCCCTTCTGCAGCATGAGGGAGACCCTGGTGCATGTTTACTTGGAGCACGCCAGGTTGCAGCCCTTATTCCGACTCCTCACAAATATTTTGTTATGTTTCTGGCTACATTTTCCCCCTCACCTCCTTATCTATGCACTCCCTATCTGTGGCCCCACAAAGCCTCCTGGTCAACCTCCTCCTGTCCCAGGCTAAAATGGCCATCTATAAAACCAGGGAGAGGAGGCTGGCCGATGGAGAGTCCTGTGACTGTGGGGCCTATTTCCAATCCTGCATCTGTTCACGCATCCGGGCAGAGTTCCTTTGGGCAGTGTCCACAGACTCCCTTGACGCCTTTGAGGAGCAGTGGGCGCTGTCCAGGGTTCTCTGCTCGGTGTCGCCATCAGGCTCCCTTTGTTTGACCCTTTGACCGCACGCCTGTTCCTGTTATTAGCTGTCCCTCAGAATCACTTGGCTTCCAGGTCCTGTGGATCCCCTGCTTAGGTGGGGGGGGAGGGGGAAGGAACCCTTTAGCAGAAGCCCACCCACTTCCTGGATCCCAAATAGGACCAGAGTCCTGTACCCCAGTGCTCTGAGTCGGTCACAAAAGTTAGAATTGAAGAGTGGGAATTCATGATGTGTCATGCTAGGGAATAAACAAGAACTACTGAAATTAAAATATTTGCAGTAAATGCAGAAAATATTAAAAAGAAAAACCACTGCCTTGAAAAAAAACTATTTTTAAATTAAATTCATTTTATTTTAAAAAGATTGTGTTCTCAAAACTAATAATTTGACATTTTAAGTCAGCAACATGATTACAAATAATTTTGTGTTTTGAAGTATTGAGTGGTTACAGTCTTCTTATTTTTCTATAAAGAACTTGCTCTGAGCTCTTCTGGCTTTTTCAAGGCTTTCAAAAGTGAGGGCTCCTTTTGGCATTTCTAGCAAGGTGTTCTCTGTGTCAAGTATGTTCTCTGCTTCACCTTAAAAAAAAGAAAAAAAAAGGATGAGATATAAATGCATCTTTGCACTTTTATAAGAACAAAAAAACAGTTTTCAGAGAAATTGCATATATTTTGTTTGAGGGCTTGAATAACTAAAGAATATTAGATATTTACTCAAATAATTATTATAACTGGGGCTGGTAGTACAACTTATTTTTAAGGTTGCCCAACACTTTTCATTATAAGACCCTGTTTTCAGTTGCTTAGAATTTTGCCAAGCATTTGGACTGAAATTCTCCATGCCAAGTGCCTGCCTTAGGCTAAATTTATTTGGAAAATTTCATTCATTTTCAATAACAAGGCTAAGGAAAAATGCTTTTTTGCCCATGTTAAAAAATTCTGGCAACGTTTTCTTTGAGAAGCTTTAGTGCCCCCATGTTTTGGAGCAAGGACATGAAATTTAGTAGATGTACTTTGTGTCAGGGATATGCTTTTCCCATCCCCAGGAAAATCCTCCCAAATTTGGCCAAATTATAAGCCTTTGAAAAACAGCAGTTTGCACATGCTCAGCAGAGACATGCTAGAGTTTTTCAGCTAAATTTCTTTACAATTCTGTCCATATTGAACATGCTCCAGCCCGGGACTGAGTAGGATTTCCCTGCAATTATGGCTCTGTTCCACTGTGGGCCAGGCACCAAAACAGACAACAGGGATACTGTCTCTCCTGTACTCTCAATGGACTCCCACCCCATCCCGACAGGCCAGGCTGAGTGGAGGAGTAAGCTGCTTGATCTGAATACAGAGGAGACTAGGATGAGACCTGTAGTGGGGAGTAAATTGGAAAATGGAACGAGGTGAGGGGAGGGGAGATCTAACTGCAGGCTGATGGCAGGGAGTGGGGAGTGAAACAGGGAGCCAATACATCACTGGGAGTAGACTGGGATGAAATAAAGACCTGGTGGCGGGGGAGGAGGACTGGCTGGCAAGGAGACGGAGACAAGAAGAGGAGTGAGGGAGCAGGGATAAAAACTGGTAGCAGAAGATAGGGGGAAGAAGATTGGGAACCAACACAAGGAGTGGCAGACTGGAAGAGGATGAGGAGCTACTGTGGGGGACAGACTGGCTGGGCAAGGAGAAGAGTTGGGTGGGAAACAGTCTGAACAAGGAGCTAGGGAGGGAGATGGATTGGTAGGCACTTGGGGCAGGAAAAGTGGGAAGTGGGGTTGGGGATGGAGACTAGCCAGTCAAGTAAAATGTGGATAGGGAGATAGAGGGGACTGAGCAAGGAGATAGGAACTGGAACGAAAAGAGTCCAGAGGCTGAGAACTGGACATGCTGGGCAATGAGGCTGGGATGAGAAGCCTGAGGAGTGGAGACAGGGACAGGAGCCAGAGGTGGGGAAGAGAGAGAGAGCTTTGACTGGGACAAATTGGAAGGAACAGGGCAGAAGAATCTGTTCCCATTGAGAATGCTCTTCTCCAGAACCTGGAATGGATATCAAGGTTCCAAAGTGTCTGCAATCAGCGAACACAATGAAACTCACTGGCAATGTGTCCTGTACCCCTCTAGGGCAATTCCACATAAAGGGTGATAACCTATCACTGCTTGCATTTACTCAGCTAGCTCAAGTGACAGATGTCTGGGCAGTAGGTCTAAAGGTTCCAGTCTGGCTGATGACCCATGTAGGTGTCAGTGATGCCACATTATGGAATTTCTGTTTTCAGTTTGCTTTTTTAAAAATCTAGGAAGTTACACACAAAACACTATGTTAGAAAGAACATGAAGATTTCAAAATCAAGTGCTCAAAAGTTAAAAAAATACTAGAATTAAGGAACCTTAATTCAGCTCCCATGTGCCTAACACAGTCTTTAATTAACTATCATACTATTTTTTCCGCACAGACCACTGCCTCATTCAGTACACAAGATGGACAATGCTCAGTTAAAGAAAAGCTATTTAATATTTTGTTTACTTATTTACTGCACATTATTTACTGCTCTAAAGACAAAACTATTGATTCTGTGTTGGTGAACATGTATGACTGTGTCATAATTTATATGTACAAGGGGGTCAAATTAAGGTTGAATAGGCAATCTTAATTCTGTTTTTTTCCTAACTTTTGAGTGTTTGACTTTGGAACTTTAACAATGTCCTTTTAACATAGTTTTGTGTGCAATTACACATATGCTCAATGCTGTATAAATTTTGAAAATAAATCTTTATAGCTGAGTATTTTGTATTTTATATTTTCCATTAGAGGTTATTGCACCTGCCTCATCTGTGCTTTACAGAAAGTTATCTGGACTGATCATTAAATTGATTCAAGGGCTGCATATTCTAAGGACAAGTCATATTCTGAATCCAGGTCTAAATATATACTAATAGCTCCTCATTGTCCTTTTTCTATAGTGTAGAAAAAGAGACCAACCATATGCAATGTTACTTTCAATTTATTACTTTTGATAGGCTCTATCATCAGGTATTTCTCTAGGATGCACATGATTAAGACTAACTTACTGGGGATTCTTACTTACTTACAAAAAGAAAAGGAGTACTAGTGGCACCTTAAAGACTGCATCCGATGAAGTGAGCTGTAGCTCACAAAAGCTTATGCTCAAATAAATTTGTTAGTCTCTAAGGTGCCACTAGTATTCCTTTTCTTTTGCGAATACAGACTAACACGGCTGCTACTCTGAAACCTTACTTACTTACATTCATACAAAGGATGACTTTTATTAAATTTCAAAACAGAAACTGGAGAGAACTAACTAAACCTGTCACTTCTTCTAAAATTGTTAGTATTAGTCCATTTGTATTTACATTCCAATTAATATTAATTATGATTTTTCTCTTGATTTTCTCAAATTTTGTATTTACTTAAGACTACCTGAATTGGTGGTGAAGGCTATTAGGATGGATTCTCTCTGCCGGGGAAGCTCAGACAGAAGGAAACAATTCTGACTTTAAGAGAGACAGAAAGGAGGGGAGGGATAGCTCAGTGATTTGAGCACAACGTAGGGTTGTGAGTTCAATCCTTGAGAGGGCCATTTAGGGATCTGGGGCAAAAAATTGGGGATTGGTCCTGCTTTGAGCAGGGGGTTGGACTAGATGACTTCCTGAGGGTCCCTTCCAACCCTGATATCCTGTGAAAGGAGAGTGAAGTAATGAGCTTAGGCACTTGCCCATAAGACAAAAAGAGCTACAAAAGGGACTGGCATGGCACATTGTGGTCAAGAACAAGATAGTCCAAAGGGTGCTTGGCTTGGTTACAAGTCTCAACAACTTCCAGATACATACCCTTCATCCTTTGCAAAAGTGTTCCATAACCCATATCATACTGGTAGGCAAGTATAAAGCTTAAGGGAACCACTGGAAGGAACAGTCCTGGTTTCTTGTTTTTTATTGCTCTGTTCATAAAAAAAAAAAAAGGGGGGGGGGAAACAATAAGTTTTGTAAGATCAGCAGCAGCCTAAAAGCTTCATTAATCAAACAGAAGGTATTTAGCTACTCTAGAGACAGAGCCAAATATGTTTCATAAGACTACTAACCTGTTTTATGCACATTTTAAGGAACATTTATTTAACCAAACAAACCAAACATTGAAATGAAAGACATTTCTTGTGCTCCAGAAAAGTTTAAAGTGCTACGAACTACTGGTTCAGCATGTGTGTGTTTCGGAACAAAAAGAGTCTGATGTTTACAATATATGCTATTTATTACAAACCAAAATGCATATATATTTTGTTTTACAGTAGTATGTACATAATCGTTACAGGGCTAGCTGCATCTCTGATCCCTTTTTCTCGTCTCTTGAGGGCTCCCGCTCAGGCCTTACCTCTCTCAAGGTGGAATCCTATGATTCTCATTGACTCGGTTCTGGGGCTTCCGTGCCCTGTGTATTGACTGCGTTTACCCAGCAGGTCTGACTAGATAGGGGTAGCTGGAGTTCTTCCCTTCAGGAACTTGTGACCAGGGGTGAATAAAGTGACCCAAAACAGCCTTCTTAAAATGAAAGTACTGTTTAATCTGAACAGTAGGAACAGAGCATAACTTAAGAGGTCTATCCTACCTTAGACTCCTAACCTCTGAATTTTGGGTTTACCTTAGCTCTCAAAAACCTGTGGGTCTCCCCCTTTTTGAAATGGCATGAATCTTAATCCCTACTGGCTGCCTTGAACTTCCCTCCACACAAGGACAGAATCATTCCTGGGAAAACCTGTCTGGCAGGCCTAGCAAGAGGTCAAGCAGAGCATCAAAATTAATTACTCTTGTTTTGTCTCAAGTGTTTGCTGGGACGTGTACCTATGGTTCCACTTCCCTCTCATTTCCTGCGAACATTTCCTGACAAGCCCACTATTGAATTAACTCAATATATGCATACAGTAGATATCACAATAGCCTGTCAAGATAAAGTAAACCCCCTTACAAACAAAACTTACAGAAATACAGCATTCACAAATTACTAGACAGCTCCAGATCCACCACACATGTAGTATATAAGACATGGTGTACATTAAATATATACCTTACACACAGTTACTTCCTATGTTTTACCTTTATTATTATTATTATTTATTATTATTAAAGTGAAGTATAAAAAAAGGTTTCTGGAATTTCCCTTAAGCTCATCTTCATGCAGTGGTATAGCTTTGCTAACAACAGGCTTTTTGTATACAATTTGAGTGAGTTTCTTGATTTAATTTCTAAAACTTTAGAGTTTTTTGAGAATTTATATACATTGTTCAGTGACTTATATTTTTCAGTCATCCAGAGAATCTCGGTGGGGCTGTTTGTCAATAGACAGTCATCTTATTAAGTCATAGTACAGGAAAGAAAGTGGCACAAACTTTGTAAATAATGGTTTTATGCTGAATTTGACAGAGGAGCCTACCTACAGAGTCAAGTGCAAAATACCAACATGGGTCCATTTTACAAAGTCACTTTTGAGTTTAAAAATGAAAAAAATGTTAATCTCCCTTGTGCCAGGATGGAAAAAAAAGTTCTGACTATATGCAGAATATTTATTGCTCATAATATTGAGATGATACTTTTGATGACAGAGGAGGTAAAACAGTACAGGAAGGGAGAGTGATATACAATTAGTACAAAAGCTGTTCATCAGCAGTCCTAAATTCTAGCTTAGTTCTGCCACTAATTCTTGATGTAACCGTGGCACAGTATAACCTTTATGTCTCAATCTCTCCTTATGTAAAATGGGAATACAGTTACTTACCACCCATTTCACAGGAGAGTTGTGAGGGATAAATAAGTCTGTTCAGCACTTTGAATACATAAAGAACCATATAAATGTTAAATTATTATAAGAATACGGCTATCTCCTCTGCAGATATATTTGCCCTTAAGTATTAACAGTAAAAATACCAAACACAACTTGATTTGGTCACTGAAGTAAGCAGATATGACATACAGGGAGCTGAAAGATTGATTAAGGAAGTGCCATTTCTACTTCTCTGATCAGAAACACACACTTCAAAATAATTACTTAAGAATAGGCTTGGACGGATTAGATTCTTTTAAACAGTAAATGTAAGTACTTCACTGTACACACACACTGAGAAAAAAATAATTTCATCAAATAGTAATTGAAATTTACAGATAGGCAAAGTAAGAAAAATGCTGCTTGAGAATTCAGGATTTAAGGATATTTACTTCGTATATTTTGGCATGTGACGTTGACAATTTGTGTTTTAACTGTTACAAAGCTTTAACTTTTTGAATCTCAATGTCTACTGTCATTAAATAATTATTGGCTGACCTCCCCCATAATTTCCCACAATTGTGAAAATTTAAATAGATAAAAATAGAAAAAAATACTTAAAACAAACACTGATATCAGTAGAAATTATTTAAAAAAAATAAAAAATCAAATTCTGCCAAGCCTACTTAAGAACAGGCAAGAGAAAGACAATGACCACTGAGGAATTACTACAACTAATTTACTTGAATTTTCTAGTACATAACAAACTTCATACCCAGTAGTTAGACCTACAGCAGCAAGTCCAAAAAATATTCCAAAATATTTGAGGAATTCCCTTGTCCAAGCAATCTGCATAGCCATCTGTCTCTCTCGCATTTGATTCTGCATCAGTAGCTGTCTTTCCAGCTGAGGGTAGGTGAAAAAGAAAAGAAAAATTAGATTTAAAAAAAAGTAATTCATAATCTGAAAGTTTAAGCAGATCTTTCAGTCAATCAACACAAAACTCTAGTAAGAAGTTTTTGGTCTCCATCTCTTTCCAGGCAATTATTCACACTATTATGTTGAGATAAGTCTTCTCTAATAATTCATATTGTTAGAACAGTTCATATCAGTATTCCTACGAAAAGGATTTTCTAGGTTAGCAAATATTAGAAGAAAGCATTTCCCACCCGTCACCATGCCTTTGCGGGTCACAACTAAGAATACCAAATTCAGGACAAACTGCTGAGAAATAGGGGCAGATAATCTCCAGTTTTCAGGTGGATTTTCCCTGATAATATACCAAACCAGCAACAAAAGTAAACTTCTGTTTCACCACACTGGCTAACGAGAAGTCAGAACAGCAGTTTCCTTAGTCATTCCAGTCCTTGTATCATTGCCAAAAACGCTTGACTTTAACATGAGTAGTTCTTTACAACCAATTTCATCAAATGAAAGGTTCTTCTGATCCTAAAGGATCAGCCACACACCCAGCTCAATACATAACTCAGATCTTACAATAATTACACTAAAAGAAAAGGAGTACTTGTGGCACTTTAGAGACTAACGAATTTATTTGAGCATAAGCTTTCGTGAGCTACAGCTCACTTCATCAGATGCATACTGTGGAAACTGCAGAAGACATTATATACACAGAGACCATGAAACAATACCTCCTCCCACCCCACTCTCCTGCTGGTAATAGCTTATCTAAAGTGATCACTCTCCTTACAATGTGTATGATAATCAAGGTGGGCCATTTCCAGCATAAATCCAAGTTTAACCAGAACGTCGGGGGGGGGGGGGGAAACAAGGGGAAATAGGCTACCTTGCATAATGACTTAGCCACTCCCAGTCTCTATTTAAGCCTAAATTAATAGTATCCAATTTGCAAATGAATTCCAATTCAGCAGTTTCTCGCTGGAGTCTGGATTTGAAGTTTTTTTGTCATAAGATAGCGACCTTCATGTCTGTAATTGCGTGACCAGAGAGACTGAAGTGTTCTCCAACTGGTTCATGAATGTTATAATGCTGAATAATCCCATGGGCTGAAATTGTGGAAAAGCAGCATCACTTGCCCCATAACCTCAGCCGTGCAGAACACAATGCCATCCACAGCCTCAGAAACAACTCTGACATCATAATCAAAAAGGCTAACAAAGGAGGTGCTGTTGTCATCATGAATAGGTTGGAATATGAACAAGAGGCTGCTCGGCAGCTCTCCAACGCCACTTTCTACAAGCCATTACCCTATGATCCCACTGAGAGTTACCAAAAGCAACTACAGCATTTTCTCAAGAAACTTCCTGAAAAAGCACAAGATCAAATCCGCACAGACACACCCCTGGAACCCCGACCTGGGATATTCTATCTTCTACCCAAGATCCATAAACCTGGAAATCCTGGGCACCCCATCATCTCAGGCATTGGCACCCTGACAGCAGGATTGTCTGGCTATGTAGACTCCCTCCTCAGACCCTACGCTACCAGCACTCCCAGCTACCTTCAAGACACCACTGACTTCCTGAGGAAACTACAATCCATCGGTGATCTTCCTGATAACACCATCCTGGCCACTATGGATGTAGAAGCCCTCTACACCAACATTCCACACAAAGATGGACTACAAGCCGTCAAGAACACTATCCCCGATAATGTCACGGCAAACCTGGTGGCTGAACTTTGTGACTTTGTCCTTACCCATAACTATTTTACATTTGGGGACAATGTATACCTTCAGATCAGCGGCACTGCTATGGGTACCCGCATGGCCCCACAGTATGCCAACATTTTTAGGCTGATTTAGAACAACGCTTCCTCAACTCTCGTCCCCTAACGCCCCTACTCTACTTACGCTATATTGATGACATCTTCATCATCTGGACCCATGAAAAGAAGCCCTTGAGGAATTCCACCATGATTTCAACAATTTCCATCCCACCATCAACCTCAGCCTGGTCCAGTCCACACAAGAGATCCACTTCCTGGACACTGCAGTGCTAATAAACAATGGTCACATAAACACCACCCTATACAGGAAACCTACTGATCGCTATTCCTACCTACATGCCTCCAGCTTTCACCCTGACCACACCACACGATCCATCGTCCACAGCCAAGCTCTGCGATACAACCGCATTTGCTCCAATCCCTCAGACAGAGACAAACACCTACAAGATCTCTATCAAGCATTCTTACAACTACAATACCCACCTGCGGAAGTGAAGAAACAGATTGATAGAGCCAGAAGAGTACCCAGAAGTCACCTACTACAGGACAGGCCTAACAAAGAAAATAAAAGAACGCCACTAGCCATCACCTTCAGCCCCCAACTAAAACCCCTCCAACACATTATTAAGGATCTACAACCTATCCTGAAGGATGACCCAACACTCTCACAAATCTTGGGAGACAGGCCAGTCCTTGCCTACAGACAGCCCCCCCAGCCTGAAGCAAATACTCACCAACAACCACATACCACACAACAGAACCACTAACCCAGGAACCTATCCTTGCAACAAAGCCCATTGCCAACTGTGCCCACATATCTATTCAGGGGACGCCATCACAGAGCCTAATAACATCAGCCACATTATCAGAGGCTCGTTCACCTGCACATCCACCAATGTGATATATGCCATCATGTGCCAACAATGCCCCCCTGCCATGTACATTGGTCAAACTGGACAGTCTCTACGCAAAAGAATAAATGGACACAAATCAGATGTCAAGAATTATAACATTCATAAACCAGTCGGAGAACACTTCAATCTCTCTGGTCACGCAATTACAGACATGAAGGTCGCTATCTTACAACAAAAAAACTTCAAATCCAGACTCCAGCGAGAAACTGCTGAATTGGAATTCATTTGCAAATTGGATACTATTAATTTAGGCTTAAATAGAGACTGGGAGTGGCTAAGTCTTTATGCAAGGTAGCCTATTTCCTCTTGTTTTTTCCTACCCCTCCCCCTCCCCCCCCAGACGTTCTGGTTAAACTTGGATTTATGCTGGAAATGGCCCACCTTGATTATCATACACATTGTAGGGAGAGTGGTCACTTTGGATAAGCTATTACCAGCAGGAGAGTGAGTTTGTGTGTGTGGTTTTTGGAGGGGGGGGGGTGAGAAAACCTGGATTTGTGCTGGAAATGGCCCACCTTGATTATCATACACATTGTAAGGAGAGTGATCACTTTAGATAAGCTATTACCAGCAAGAGAGTGGGGTGGGAGGAGGTATTGTTTCATGGTCTCTGTGTATATAATGTCTTCTGCAGTTTCCACAGTATGCATCCAATGAAGTGAGCTGTGGCCCACGAAAGCTTATGCTCAGATAAATTGGTTAGTCTCTAAGGTGCCACAAGTACTCCTTTTCTTTTTGCGAATACAGACTAACACGGCTGTTACTCTGAAATCAATAATTACACTGTTGCCAATCCTTTAGTATCTAAAATCTAAAGGTTTCAGAGCGGTAGCCATGTTAGTCTGTATCAGCAAAAACAACGAGGAGTCCTTGTGGCACCTTAGAGACTAACATTTAGCCCACCAAAGCTTATGCTCAAATAAATTTCTTAGTCTCTAAGGAGCCACAAGGACTCCTAGTTGTTCTTGCTAAAATCTAAAGATTTATCTATAAAAAGAAAGGAAGGTGAGAGTTAAAATTGGTTAAAGGAATCAAATACATACAACAATTGTAAAGTTCTTGGTTCAAGCCTGTAGCAGTGATGGAATAAACTGCTGGCTAAGTCAAGTCTCTGGTTGCTTCCAAATCATTGGAAGGTCCTCAGTCCTTTGGTTAGACTGCTCCCATTATTATAAGTCCATAGTCCAGAGGTCTGAGCAGGAAAGAGGCAAAATGGAGGTGTTTCCATGGCCTTTTACGGCTTCTGCCATGTGGAGGGAAACCCATTGTTTCAAACAAAGGCCTCAGCACAGCTAGTGGAAAATCACAGGTAAAAGATGGAGTTTGGAGTCACATGAGCAAGTCACAGGTCCATGCATGACTTCGCTTAGTCATAGCGGGAAATGCTATTAAGAGTAGATCCACGTCTTCCATTGTGAGTTAAGTGTTCTTTAATAAGCCATTGTATTTGAATAGTTCCTTCACAATGTGCTGGCTAAACACCTTGTTGGTGCTACCCAGAAGCAAATACCTTAGAAATACAGGCATGTATTTAATACTCCTAACTTCATCTACAAAAATGATACATGCAAACAAATAGCATAATCATATTCAGCGAATCAAACTTTCCATAAACATTTTACATGCCACATTTTGTACAAGATTTGTTGCAATTATATAACAGTGGTAGCAAGAATGGTCATAGTTTAATCAGTTAACATCACCCCACCACCACCTTTCTCCTTGTGAATAAAATTAAGCAGCGTTTAGGACACCTACATTTTTTTTTTAAATCTGTACGCATATTGTAATTCCAGATCCTCGGGTACACCCAGGCTCCTGGTTAAGGCTCCCTGATTCTTGTGTCATTTCTATGCTCATATACTTACAGCAGTTCAGAGACCACTTCAGTTTATGCTGGTTGATTATGATCCTCCAGGGTAGCAGCATTACAGCGGGCTATGCTCTCTATGTGCCCCCTGGGATTATTGATTTTTCTAAAGACTCAATATTAAATAAATAATTGTTGTATAGGCTAGAAATATTAAAGAAATTTACAAAAAGACTAATGAGACTTTCCCAGCTAAATATATAATCTGACTATTCGATGCTGGGTGTATCTGGAAGTTGTTTTGCTATTAACATTTAACCAGCCATAATCCAATAATTTACATTTGTACAATATATAGACAGGTCAGACTTTAAAAACCTTACTATCCTTACATTAGCGGTCTTAAAGAATATGTATAACATTGGGTTTTTATTAAATATCAGAAATCATACATACACCCCACCATTACTTTC